TCATAAATCCATGCTTTTGCAGATTTTCCTTTAAAAGAAGGTATATGAAATAAAATATACATGTAATAAATTTACAGAGTCACAACTTGGCACTGAATTTAAATCAAATAAATAGGGGTGAATTATATATCTGAAACATAATATATGAGGGTCAGGGTCATTTCACAAATTTACATACATATATAGAAAGAGGAGAGAGAGAAAGAGAGAGAGAGAGAGAGAGAAATTTAGCAGTCACAAATAACCTTCACATACATTTTTACAAGTAATGTTAATAATGAGTATCTGAGGCAGGCATAACATCTCCCTCTTACAAATTAATAAACTAAGTCTCAGAGGATTTTTGAATGATTTATGCAAAGTTCATTGCCCCAGGAAGTCAAAGAATTGATAATTAAACTCAAATTTTCAGGCACTAAATCTTAGGTGCAAAATATGATTCTTAACGATTCAAAGTTTTCATGTTCCTGTATGATCTTTTGAATCTAATGTGACATAGCCTAGAGCTTAATGGAATAACAGATAAATACTCTTTTTACAGTAATTTTCTTGCAAAGATGCTGTCTTGTATCTCCAAAGACCATAATGATGCCAGAATGTTCACACAGCCATTACCGTGGAGAGGAAGACATCACAGTGTGGTCAGACATGTAAATATGCAGGACTCAGAGACAAAGCAGTAGTCTAGTCTGGTCATCACCTGTCACCTTACACAGAACATTGAGGAAAGTCAATTTTTCTCACTGAGATTTGTTTTAATTTCATTGAAAAAAAAGGCATGCTGATATTTTCTTGGCCAGATAAATGTGTTTACTTCATATCCATTCATTCAAAATCAAGGAAGGGCAGAAGTTTTACTTCTGTGACTCTTGATATCAGATTACCCTTTTTCACTATATGAAGAAATATCTGTCTTTCTCAAGCAAACCTATTCATGTTTTAAAGCAAACAAAGCTTTGAAATTTTCCTCTTCCAAAGAGTGCTCCTCTGTGAAGGGCCTTTGCTTCCACATTCTTATAGCTGATTAATATTTATTCTCCTGAAGGGCTCCTTATGGTGTGACTCACCTTGGCCCACAACTATTTGCATTTTTATATTTCTTATATTTAAATTTCAAAAATATAGTTTTTGAGAATTTCATATATGATTATTGTATTTACATTGCATCTACTCCTCCAGGCACCCCTCTAACTCCTCTCATTTCTCCCATGGGCTTACAATTTCTTGATGTCTTTGTTATTATTACAAATATACTTATAATACACACACACGTGTGTGTGTGTGTGTGTGTGTGTGTGTGTGTGTGTGTGATGTACCGAATCCATTTGGTGTTGCTCATGTGTTCCTGTATTTAGGGATGCCCACTTGAGATTCGAAAAAAAAAAAAAAAAAAAAAGCATCTCAGGGAGCCATTACCTAGAGAAAGCTGATTCTTCATCCCTCAGCGTATGTTGATACCTGTGTCTCCTCATCTTGTTGTGGGATCCTGTGAAAATTACCTGTATGCATTGAATCCATGCCTGGTGCTATAAACATAGCCAAGTACACATAGTTTGAGAAACCATAGAGAAGAACCTACTTCTGTCACTGTCATAGGCCAACATAATTCCTTACTGTATTCTAAATATGTATTTTTATATTCACAGACAACTGTAATTCTTGCTACTCATAAAACAATCTTATTTTTTCAAATTTCATATTTGAAGATTTTATACATGGGTATTTTATTTACATTATTTCCATCCTACTCAGTGCACCTTTCAAATCATTCCAAGTCTATGCTACTTCTCAATTTCTTGTCCTGCTCTTTTGTAATCCAGATACATTTATAAATATAAATACACAGCATCAACTTGTTGTCTATAGCTCTTCATTTTGAGATGATACCATGTGAAATTTCCCTCATCCACCTTGGCCTGTCACATGGTTTTGTCATTATACAGCTTTTATTAGACTACAATAATGTGGAAGTTTCATTGGCGTAGCTTCCTATCATGTCTACAACTCATTGACTAGCAGCAGGTGGCTTATCCTCTGGTTCTTACAATCTTTCCACACCCTCTATAATATTCCAAGGCATTTCATGAGCCTTAGATAAAGGGATTGTAGTGTAGATATATCACTTAGACCTGGGCCCTTCCCAGTCACTTTTTTTCTATGTTAGAATTCAATAAGACATTGCATTGGTCAAGGGGCTTGACATAGTAGGTTTTATCTAGGATCTATGACATCTCCAGCCATGTGTACATAGTTTTACAGTACCACATAGAAATTTCCTCCTACTGAGTGGTCTTAAGTCTAATTAGAGAGCTACTGATCACTCTGGGATCACCAAAAGACATGATTTACTGACTCCATCATTCTTGCGGTTAGTACTGATTGGTTTTCTCCCTGGGAAGCTTGGAATACTATTGTCTGAGACTAGGACAGCTAGTCTTCTGGAGAGGTCTTACAGGTCAGTTCCAAATCAATTGCTTCAAGTTCCATACCTTAAGTATGCTGTGTATTCAGCAATAAGGTATTATTTTCAAGTTCTAGACAGTAATGTAGGGCTGTGGCAATAGTCTCCACTATTTTGGGAGTCTTCTGGATTGCTCTGACCTATGTACATTTCAGTAGGCTTATTAAATAGTACATTTATGAGTTACATATATTATATACCTGCAAATTTCCACCTTAAACTATCAGCTAATCTGTTCATCTAGCAGCCTCCATCCCACTATCCTGATCCTCAATCATGTGCAGTCAGTCCTGGAATCTCAACTCAGAAGTTGCGCCTATCTCTACCTGAACTAAGGCCACTTCTTTTACCCCAATTTCTCACCAACCTAAAGTGACCCTGAAACTGAACACCAAGCAGTACTAACTGGTCCATAACCTGAGAAGGTGTGAAAACAACATAGAAGATACAAAAAAACGTATTCTACAAGGACAAAGAATTTACCCATAGCAAGAAACACTACTATACAAGTACAGATGCCAAGTCTCAATGAAAAAACAAAAACAGCATGAATATCCAAGAAAATATGGATACTACAGAAATGAACAACCCAGTCATTATGTGTCCTTAGAATGACAGCTAAGCAGATACACAAAACAATACTTCCAAAGAGCAATTATAAATGTGCTCAAGGAACTCAAGGAGGATATGAATAAAAAACTGAATGAAGACTGAAAACACAGAGTTGAATGAATGAACTAAAACAATCAAAACATGAATCTAGAATTCAATGTAGAGACTGTCTGAAGAAAAGCCAATTGCTCTGCTCAATATTGTTACTATTATCATTCCACTTTTTTTGACACTTTTAAGAAATCTAGATGGACTTCAGTATTCATTACTTTTCAATAAGATAAGAAATGATAACTATTTTCATAAGTAGTAGGTTACTGGAGAAATATTTACAAATCATATTAATTTCTAAAGGTAAGCTCTAAAAGTACTAAGCATTTACATATACATATATGAAATATTTATAGTTATAAAAGTTGGAATAGCTAAAAGTTCACATGTGTATAAAGACAAGAAAAAGAACAAAGTACAAAATTAATTTCACACGCACATGCCCCTGCAAAGCCCCACACCCCCACACACAATCAATTTATGTTCCAAACTAGAAAATGATCATCATGGACGGAAAATGAAACATCAGAAGAAAAAAATCAATAAGAAAATTGAGATTCTGAAAGAGAACCAAGTACAAATATTGAAATGGAAAATGTCATTCATTAAACAAAATCAAATATAGTGGAAGACACCAGCAACAGACTAGCTCAAGCAGCATGTAGAATAATAAAGATGGAAAGTCCTGTCCAAGTAATATTTCTTGTGAATAATAACAAATTAGTGAAGTTTGAGCACAACATCCAAAGTTTCTTGTGATATGATCAAGAGCCAAACCTAAGAATCATGTGGTAGAAAATGGAAAGTTTAAATATAAAGATAAGGAAAACCAACACATTTACACTGTCACTAAATATCTTAACCCTACAGAAAGATAGTGGCATAAAATAGGCCATTAAAACCACAAATAAACATGAACAACACAGAATTCCTCTAATATACATCGTTATTAAAATAGTGAAACTACAGAATAGGGGTTGGAGAGATGGCTCAGAGGTTAAGAACACTAGCTGTTCTTGCAGAAGACCCGAGTTCGATCCCAGCACCTACATCGTGGGTAACAATCATCTGTAACTCCATCTCCAGGGGATCATATGCCCTCTTGTGACTGCCATGAGCATTGCACACATAGGTATACTTATGTACAAGCAGACAAAGCACTTGCAGACATAAAAATCCTACAGAAAAAGCGACATTAAAAGTTGCAAGTGAGGAAGCCAACTTTTTTGCAAAAGTAAACTCATTAGAATAGCATCCAACTTCTCATAGAAACTGTAAATCTAGAAGAACAAAACAGATATGTTTCAAGCCTTGAAATAAAATAACTGTCTACAAAGATATCTTTAAAAATCAAAGGACTAATAAAGACCCTTAAAGACAAGTATAGACAAATAATTCAAGAATATGAAGCTGGAATTATAGAATACACTTAAGCAGAATACACTTTCTCAGGATGAGAGAACACTGAAAAAGGTTTCAATGAAAGGAATTGGTCAGTGAAAGACAACTAGCAAATAATTAAAATTATCCAGTACAATAAATCAACCAGTCCCAAAGATGAATAAGATAAGAACATAGAATAAAGAGTTTGAGGATCAACCAGAACAACAAAAATTACAAGAATAATCACATATCTCTTACTAGTGATCCTACATATTAATGGTATGTCATGCGCGAGACGCATGTAACTGGGGAATAGGTATGAGACCCCAATCTTAGCCAAGGAACTATTGTCAGCTGATAACTCCTGGGTGAGAGAGAGTTGTTCTTCTTTCAGGAAGTGATGCTAGCCAGATTGAGCAAGCTACAGTGAATGAACTTACACAGAAGAACAAACAGGTACACAAACTTGGCTAAATAGGCCTTAAATGACCGAATGCATGAAATCTGTGGGTGAGTAGTGGGGGGTGCAGATAGGGTAGGGGTCCAAATATGATTAATAGTTATTGCATGAAAAGCTCAAACATTGAATTAAATATACATTGAAAAGGATTCAACAGATGAATATATTAAAATTAAAAAAAAATTAGGCCTTACTATATGATAGAGTACATGAAATTAATTGAGGGTCTATAAAGAGGGTGCACACAGTGGATGAGTCCTAAATATGATCAAATATATTGTATGAAATTTGAAAAAATTGAACAAAAATCAATTAAAATTAAAATTCTAATTGATTTTATTTTCAACAGATACATTTCACTGGCAAACACTAAGAGAGACTGAAAGCCAAATGATGGAGTACTCCATAGCAAATAAATAAAAACAGGAAGGAGCAAGAATGGGACATCTTTATATATGGTACATTTTATTTCCAGCAAAAACTATTCCAACAAGATAAAGAACGTCACTGCAAATGCAGAAAAGGAGCCCTCAATCAATGTTTTATGATTATAAATAAATACACATCAGTATTGGTGCAACTAATTCAATAAAACAGATAGTAATTGGCAGAGAGAGAGAGAGAGTCAGATAAAGTAATTAGCAAGATGCTTCAGCACACCGATTTTATTAATAGATAGATCACCCAGAAAATAAAATCAACAACAACAAAAAATTCTTCCTTAAACAATGTATAGCAAATAGTCTTATCTGAGACATGTAGAATTTATCAGCATTCTTCTCAGAAACCCATGACCATTTTCCTGGGCAGACCAGATTCATTCTTGAACACACACAGACACACACACACACACACACACACACACACACACACACATATTCTTAACAAATAAAAATCAAAATAACTTATTCATTATCAGTTCGTGAATGAAACAAGAAGCAACAGAATCTACAGGTACTAACACAGTGAGTATGAATAATATACTCATGAATGATCAGTAGTTAATTAAAGAAATCAGAAGAGAATCCTGGAATCAACTGAAAAGTAAAACACTATACATACACAAATATGCATGTTGTTGTATGTATACATACACATGCATATATTTAGGATATGATAAAGACAGTTGCAAAAGGTAAATTCCTAATCATCAATGCTTTCATCAAAAAAAAAAACAGAGAAAGATCAAATCCAAAATAAGCTTATAGAAAGAAATCGTAAAGAATAAACAATATATTAATGAAATGAACATGGAAAGAACAAGACAAAGAATAATGAGAAAGTTAATATTGGTTCTTCACAAGAAAAAAAATTGATAAAACTGAACTTAAGAAGGAAAAAAAAGATGGACCAATAAAATCAGAGATAGAAACAGGAACATTACAATAATTGCTGATAAAATAATATTAGTGTTTCACTGATACAGCCTATCGGTATTTAAAGATGTTTAAAGATGAATTAATACATGCATTTCAGAAATAATTCTATAAAATATAAAGGATAGATCTACATCCAATACTACTTAATTTATTCAAAAAGATAGAAATGGAGGGAGACCTTCCAATTCCTTCTATGAAGCCAACATCACTTTAATACCAAAGCCAGGTAAAGATACAACCAAAAAAGAAAAGTATAGACCCATATCATTAATGAATAGAGATGCAAAATTTCTAAACAAAATTCTTGCAAACCACATACAGACACACATCATTAAGATCATCCACCATGATCATGTTGGCTTTATTCCAGAGATGAGGGGATAGTTCAATACACGTAAGTCAATACACGTCATAAATCATATGAATTGACTCAAAGACAAGAACCACCTGGTTTTCTTAATAGATGTAGAGAAAGCCTTTGACAAAATTTACCATCCATTTATGTTCAAAGTCCTAAAGGGAACTGGACTGGAGGGAATATACCGCAACATAATTAAAGCCATATATAACAAACCCACAGCCAACATCATTCTAAATGGAGAAAAACTGGAAGCATTCCCATTAAAATCAGTAACCGGAAGCGTCTGAAGAAGATACAGGCCAACAACGCGAAAGCCATGAGTGCACGTGCTGAGGCTGTCAAGGCCCTTGTGAAGCCCAAGGATGTTAAGCCCAAGATGCCAAAGGGTCCCAACAGCAAGCTCCGCTGGCTTGCTTTCATTGCTCACCCCAAACTTGGGAAGCGGATTCGTGGCTACATGGCTAAGGGTCGCAGGCTCTGCCGACCAAAGGCCAAGGCTGGGGCTGCAGCTCCAGCTAAGACCCAGGCTCCAGCTGCAGCTAAGACCCAGGCTGCAGCTCAGGCTCCCAAAGGTACCCAGGCCCCTGTGAAGGCCCCACAATAAAGGTCTGCCAACGTGAAGACAGATGGACTGGTGTGACCTCCCTCCCCACTGTTTACAGAGGGCTAGTGTCCTGCTGTGCTGTTTTTACAAATAAACTTGAGGCAAGATGTTAAAAAAAAAAAAATCAGTAACCGGACAAGGCTGTCCACTATATCCACTCCTTTTTAACAGAGTGCTTGAAACTCTTGCAAGAGCAATTAGACAAGAGAAGGAAATTAAAGGAGTAATAATTGGAAGAGATCAAATTATTCTTTTTTGCAGATGATATGATATTATACCTAAGAGATGCCAAAAATTCCACCAGAAAACTCTTTGAACTTATTAACATGTTCAGTAAAGTGAAAGGTTACAAAATTAACCTACAAATTTCTGTAGCCTTTCTATATACCAATAGCAAGCAATGAGAGAGAGAGAGAGAGAGAGGAGAGGAGAGAGAGAGAGAGAACATGGAAACACTCCATTTCACAGTGGCTACAAAAATATATATATATCTTGGAAAAAATCTGAACAAAGACCTGAAAATTTTAAATCTTTAAAGAAATAGAGAGAGGAAAACATCAGAAGATGTAGGACCTTCTATGCTCATGGATTGGAAGAATTAATATTGTGAAAATGACCATTAAACAAAAATCCATTTATAGATTCAATGCAACGACAATCAAAATCCCCATGACATTCTTCACAGAGTTGGAAAAAAACATACCAAGTTTCACATGGAAACACAAAAGACCTCAGGTAGCTAAATCAACCCTGAGCACTAAGAGCAATGCTGGGAGGGTGTGGGAGGTTACCATACCAGAATTTAAACTGTGCTACAGAACTAAAGTCATAAAAAAAACTTGGTACTAGCACAAAAAAAGATCCGTAGATCAATGGAACAAAATTGAAGATCTAAATATGAGTACATGCAATTTCAGCCACCTGATATTTGACAAAGGGGCCAAGAACATTCACTGGAGGAAAGACAGTATGTTCAGCACATGGTGCTGGAAAAACTGGATCTCCACCTGTAGAAGAATGAAACTAAACCCCTATCTTTCATCTTGCACTATTGTCAACTCCAAATGAATCAAAGGCCTCAATGTGAAGCCTGAAACTCTGAAACTTTTAGAAGAAAACATTGGCAATAACCTACAGGTATAGGTGTAGGAAATAATTTTCTAAACCAGACATCAATTGCTCAGGAAACATGGTCAAGAATCAACAAATGGGACCTCATTACACTAAAAAGCTTCTGTACATCAAAAGGAGCAACCAAGGAAATAAAGAGAACACCCACAGAATGGGAGAAAATCTTCACCAGTGACACATCTGACAGAGGTTTAACATCCAGACTATATAACAAACTCAAAATACAAAGAATCAAGAAATGAAATGACCCAATTAAAAGATGGACTAAGGGGCTGAACAGAGATTTCTCAAAAGAAGAAATAAAGATAGCTAAGAAGTATCTTAAAAGGTGTTCAGCATCACTAGTAATTAGGGAAATGCAAATTAAAATCACTTTAAGATTTCATCTTATCCCAGTCAGACTGTCTAAGATCAAGAGAACAAATGATACCAAATGTTGGAGACTATGTGGGGAAATGGGAATGCTCATCCACTGCTGGTGGAATTGAAAACTTGTCCAACTCCTATGGAAAACAATGAGGAGAGCTCTTAAAAAACTACAAAATGAGCCTACCATTTGACCCAGTTATACTACTACTTGGCCTATACCCAAAGAACTCATCCTATTGCAGAGAAACTTGTACATCCATGTTTGTTGCTGCTCTTTTCAAAATAGCTAAGAGATGGAAGCAACCTAAGTGTCACTCAACTGACAAGTGGGTAATGAAAATGTGATTCATTTATACAATGGAGTTTTACTCAGTAGTAAAGAATGGTAAAATCATGAAGTTTGCAGATAAATGGATAGAACTAGAAACCGTTGTACTAAGTGAAATAACACAGACACAGGAAAAAAAAAAAAAAAAACGACGATGCATGTTTTCCCTCATATGTGGATTGTAGCACCAAATCCTTGTAAGTGAATATGTATCCAGACAAAACTAAAGGAAAGAAGATAATGAAAAGGAACCAGGGAGTTAAAGGAAAGGAAAGAATCTGAAAGAGAAAAACAGTAGGAAATAGGCATTAATAAGGGAGATATGGATAAAAATGGGGTTATTTTAAGGGGTTGGGGGAGTGACAGTTATACAAGGAACCTTTGGATAAAGGGAAAGGAGCTTAAGAGAGGTAGCACCATAGGAGAAGGGTATTATTAAGAGAGACATGGGAAAAATGGGGGCACTTTAAATGGGCAAAACACGGTGGAAAGGTTACACAATGTGAGAGATAAATATGCCTAGCTGGTTTAAAAAAACCAGAGGGAACCAGATTAATCAAACAACCTACTGACAAATTATACATACAACTTGATCAAGGAATATAATACATGTCTAGACATGGTTTATCTGAGAATGTTTGGTCTTGCTCAAGCTTTAGCTACATAGCACATAGTAATTAAAAGTACTAGACTGGTAGAACTAACTTTCTTGGATGTCTAACATCCATAATATGAGGCCTATACTAATTTGTTCACAGGGACATAAAGGACAGTTTTTGCTCCTTGCTCTCCTAGGTTGACTAAGCTCCAGGGGACTATGAGAATCTCTCAAAATGTCCTGTAACTGTGACATGTCACCTTTCCTCTTGATCAAGGAGGCCATGGAGACCCTACCAAATGGACTTGAACCAGTGTCCAGTCTATAAAGAGGAGGGTCAACACAAAGGAATCATTTCCTCCATGCTTCCAAGTGAAGCCAACCATGGTCGAGCAGGACCTTTGATTTATCTTCACATAGGTGGAACTGGTAAAAGAAAGGAGCCAGAGGCTCCTCCGAAGCTCATGTGTCCCCTGAGAAACATATCCTCAAATGACCTTAAGAATAAAAATAAATTGTTTTTTTTTTTTTTTCTGAGCCAACTGTATGGTCTTAAAAACCCAAAATGAAAGTATAACCAAAGTTTAAAGGGATCAATATAATTCTTTAATAGTCCATTTGTACAGCTAAAGGCTATATAACAAGAAACAATGACAGACAGGAGATATGTACCTTTGAGTTGTTGGCAAGGGTGGCCAAAGAGACTCCTAGAGAGTAATCCAGCATAGAACTGGGAAAATGAACAGCAGACCCCAATCATTTCTAAAGGAATATTGGCAACTCACTGCTGTTAGATGGGGAAGAGCTGATCTTCCTAAAACAAGGAATTCTACATAGGCTGACTAGATTCAGCAGATGAACAAGTACTGGGGAACAGCTGGGGGCACTGACAACACAGTGGACAGTAACAGGGATGACAGAGAATAAGGTTGGCTCCAGTAGTGTCAAGGGGGAGACTATGGAAGGGTACCATTGGGCTGCAAGTATATAGATGAAAAAGATTGTTTGGGATAGTCTGTATGGAAATGAACACAAAAAAATCAACAAATTAAAAAAATGAGTTACATTTGAGGAAGAAGCATAAAAATTTGCTTCATGTTAATTAGTAGAGGTGAAACACATTAGCATTGAAATCTACAGGATGATTTTATATCCATTCTCAGGTGGATCTCAGAAAGTAACCGACTGTGATTAGTAATAATCAGATACATAGAGATTAGAGATACATGTGCAAATATCCAGGTGTTAGTAGAATTAAAAATGAGCTTATCTTTATGAAACAGTATACTTTAAAATGAAATGGAGATTTTTTTAAAGGTTAAAACCCCATTCAATTTTATGTTTTCTAGTGTTTATACTGAGTTTAATATTGTATAACTGTATTATTTCAACTATGAACCCAAAAATTTACAGCAAATATTGAAAGAGATGCATCTTTCCTCTGGAAATTGTTATTGAATGTGTTAATGCTGTTATGAAACGCTTCTTCTAATAATGTGGTTATTAAATAAATAATTAGAAAAAGGAAACATAAAAAAGAGTTTTACTCTATGAACAGTATATTTTAAAATGAAATGGTTTTCTTTTTTCTTTTTTCTTTTGTCTTTTTTGAGACAGGGTCTCCCTGTAGCCCCAGCTGTCCTGGAACTCACTATGTAGACCGGGCTAGCCTCGAACTCACAAAGATCTACCTGTCTCTGCCTCCCAAGTGCTGGGATAACAGGCCATGGAGCTCTTTTTTAAAGATTAAAACCTCATTCAATTTTATGTCTTGTAGGGTTTATAATGAGTTTAATATTGTATAACTGTATTAATTCAACTGTGAACCTAAAAATTTTCAGCCAGTATTGAAAGAGATGCATCTTTGCTCTGGAAATTGTTTTTGAATATGATAATCTTATAATGAAATACTTCTAATCATGTAGTTATTAAATAAATAATTAAAAAAATATAAAGGATAAAGGGAAGGAACTCTAACTCATTTAACAAATCGGCATTTAGTAGATAACAAAACTGAATAAAGACACATACACACACACACACACACACACACACACACACACACACATGCATAATGCTGGAGAGATGGCTCAACAATTAAAAGCAGTGACTACTCTTCCAGAGGAACTAAGTTCAGTTCCCAGCACTCATGTTGCCGCTAATAACTGCATATAATGCCAGTTCCAGGGAATCTGATGCTCTGTTTTGGCCTCTGTGGCCATCATGTATGCATGTTATACTCATATGTACAGGCAATTATACATAAATAAAATAAAATAAATCTTAAGATAAAATATGATTGTAGACCAAATTCCAAACCAAACACTGACACAAAAATTCTCAGTAACATTCTGGCAAACCAGATTTTAAAACACATTAAAATATCATAACCTGTAACTTTTTTTGTTCATTAGATGAATGGAAAGATAATGTGACAAATACATATCAATAAATATAATATAGACATAAATAGATTCAAGTACGGAAATCACATTATCATTTCAACTGATGCAGAAAATATCCAACCTCCCAGAATGATTAAGGCCTTAAATGAGTACTAGGAAGAAAGTATATTAACATAAAAAAGGCTGTGTGAAGCAATCCTGTGCTTAACAATACAC